TGTTTGCTAAAAAGCAGCCAGGGCAACTGAGGACAAGACTGGCTGAGGTGACAAGCACATGTTAACATTTTCAAATATGCAAATATATATGCAAAGACTTAAATATGTTCATATGATACTGTATGAACTCAGATGGACCGGGATGTGATGGTTGGAAAGCTCCCTCGAGATGTGTACACTCAGCAGAAAGTGGAGATCCTCACGGCTCTGAGAAAACTTGGCGAGAAGGTGAGAGGGCTATTACGGACACAAATACTCTCGCATCTATTTCAAGACTCACATGTTAAACCATTTCTGATATCTGTAAATTGTTTGAATGCACAGCTGACAACAGAGGATGAAGCGTTTCTTGCTGCAAATGCTAGTGCCACTCTGAGCCATTTTGAGAAGGTGACTGCGAGCCTGGGTAAGATGAGAAGCAGCTAATTATGACTATTGAAGCATATTTTGCTTAATAAATACCTCTTCAATAATCAAATGTATCTTACCCTTTTAGGTTCTGAAGATAAGATAATGGCATTGGCCAGTTCTGGAGTTGGGAAGACCCCGACATAAAGGTTTACTTGGATTGACATTTATTGTGAGTGTGGCTTAAATGCTGTCCGTGCATTTTACAGTATTTACAGTCATTTTTTTTAAACAATGGTTGCAATTTGCACATTTAGGAACAGAACTGTCAGATGACATCATGTGGTCACTCAACCTAAAGTATGTACATTTGGATTCATCAGACAGTATTGTATACATCCTATACATTTTATGTTTGATTGTATATTTTGATTTGGGTACAGTGGAGGAAAAGTGTTTACATTTTCAGTGAAATGTCTCAAACATTTATAAAAGCTCATTTTAGAATAGTTCTTATTTTCTGAATACAGAGAAGTAAGACTGTCAAAAAAAAGTCCTGATTCTTTTTTAACCCTCTGGTTGTAGTGTAATTTATTAACCTTATCATCAAGCTGTTGCCAATAAGCCTTTTGGTACTAGTATTTGATAGTGAAAAAGACTGTAATTACTATGCATTTTAATTTGGTTTGTCATAACTTTTTTTAACCAGTGTGATATTTGTAAATACTTTGTATTTGAATATATTTGGTGATCAACATCTTAAAAGTTGTCAGTGTTTTGTCTTTTCTCTCATTACAACTTTTTTTTTTGCAATGCATTTGGTTGGAAAAAGATCAAAATTCTATTACAGACTGGATTGTGATCTTTGGAAAATCATTATATGCAAATGTTTATAAATCTTATAAAAAACTCCTAATTCCACACTATCATTCTAATCATTTTAGTATGACATTAGCCGGCTTCTATATCTTCTCTGAACCACTGAGACGTTTTATAGATATGAATTCGATATGAATATTTTTCCGTTTTCAAGCACTAGGTGGCACTATAGTCCTGGCGACATTACTGTGGTCTGTAATTCACCTTCATCATAGAGGCCTCATTAAAGATGAAATACATGACGAAAGATCAAGGAGAATGATTGAAATGTTTCGGATATAGAAATATTTTTTTCCTTCAAGCTTTAAAGAAACGAGGATGGTAGAAGCTTTTAAACTGTTACTCTACTATTGATTATTTGAATTTGTATACATATACACATTTAAATACTTTGTGTTTATGTGCTTTGTATACATATAAAAATGAAAATATGTTTTAAATCACATGCATACACATATTACAGTAAATATAATATTCAAATACATTAATTCATAAAAACAAGATTGTGCTAATGTAAAGGTAAACATAGACAAACTGTGCATATAATTATCAAGCGAAATAATCGAAACTCCAACACAACTTTATTCCCATCTCATCCTTTATTTTGTTCATGAGCAAGCATCGACTTCACTATAATTGTTCCTCTGAATAATAGAAAAGTGAATGAGCTGGAAGGCAGCATCCAACAGTTCTACAGCATCCCCAGTTTTCATTTCTAGAGCAAAAAAATAAAAGTAATTCAAAACGTGAACAATGACCACTGAAGGCTGCAAATCTGAGACGGCTAATCTTTGATTCAATAGTATCACCAGTATCCTGTCCCATCTACTCCACTCCAAACCCACAGTACCATGTGCCAGTTACAGGAAATATTTATATCTCGTGTTATACATGCAAAGACAATGCCCCATTAGACACCCATCATCTGCAGCCGTTCACACTCAGCACAGACTGCTGATTTATTATGGAAAGTTTCTGCGCCAGTGTCTTAAAATCACATTGTTTGAAATACAATTCACATGATTTTTTCCCCTTGAGAACCTGCAGATGAATATTTGTATCAGGGGAAAGGAGGGAAGATACAAACAATTGTGCGATTTTCGGTACAAACATTGATTATACTAAATTTGGTCTCATGGAATGGTTTACATCGATCAAACGGTTTGAGAATACACTGTGAAAGACTATTACATTTGTGTGAGAAATCATGTATTTGCTTCTTGTGAATTTCATGCTGCCCTCTACAGCGTTATCAGGAGATACACCTTTCACTGTACACATATTGTTAAACTCATACCCACGTATGCTGCCTATAATAATGTACATCTTTTCGAAGTGGATTTCCTCGAACATGATTTAGTACAATATTCATTGATGATACAGTGTGGACCTATTATTTTCTCTACACATCAACATGAACACAAGACGTCTACTGTATGCAGGACAATTAAAACGTCCACTCTTGATAAAACTAGCTGTTGATCCCGAACAGAAAATTCAATACCTGTAAGAAATCTAATATTAAATCATTATAAAATGAGAAAATTGCAACAACTAAAATGGCATGGATGAGTGTTTGGTTAGTTGTGTTATCATTAATGCGCTGTGATAGGCAAAAGGCACTCCCAACTCCACCAGCTGAATTCTGGACCTCTTTTTAAAAGTCCTGTCAATTTTGAGGGGGAACCTGATGACCAAAACATGTAACAAAAACGAAAAAAAAGTCTCTCGTCGCCCTTTCATGGGTCACAAAAATAGACCTTCTCGACAACTTCCCGCATTGTACCTTTTCTGACATAAAATTATATTCATACCACCACCAGCTTAGGCCTTAAATGGAGAATATTCATGCAAGTAAACAAAAACATCTGAATGAAGTACCCTAAAGCTTCACGTCCGTCTTTACTAAACAATCAAACAATGTACAATCTCCTAAATAATTAACATTCTTTTTCGAGCCCGACGGGAACGGAATATTATTGTTTTCCCCAATAGTTAACCGTTTTCGGAGGGGGTGCATCCCGAAATGTCCAATCACAGTAAGAAAATGAAACAATGACATGATTCTGAAAGCAACTACGAAGAGAAATGACCTGCAAATCTGGAGTAGATTGATAGAGTCACCAAAAAGGAATAAAAGTTTACCAAATGTAAACAAATATCTTTACACAACTCTACAGTACAGTTCCATGTACAAAAAATCCAACGGCCATACTGCAAAAATATTTTATGCTTTAAAAGTTGAAATTTGTTTCTTTTAATGCGCTGTGACAGGCAAATTAGCCCTTGTAATGCTTTTAAGGGGCCTTGAAATGACAAGAATAACACGGGTTAACCCTGAATTTGAAAAGAAAAAAAGAAAACTTTTAAAATACAAAATTAGGTATATATGAAATAAAAATACCCCCCCCCCATAATTTTGTTCAGTAAAGTTCATATAACTGACCATCGCAAGCCAGTACTTTAGCAAGAGGTCTATCAAAACATTACACAACAGACCTTTCAATGCTCACATTGTGGATAAATCAACAGCACACCTGTTTTCCGTGTCGTTTCAGTCATAAATGTTATTCAGACTGGGTTATGAGAGTGCTGAGTACTGTGATTCCAATTGGTCTCTATTTATTACAGAAAATACAAGCACTATCACTTAAGAATGGCTTAAATATGCGGTGTGCCTAAACTGTACAACAGTACCACGCGAAAAAAACAACAACTGTATATTCATCATCTGAATGTGATTATTAGTCCCAAAACGTCACTGAATTTAAAAACATTGAAGCCTTGGTGTAGCATTTGTGCCATTGCAAGCCCAGCTAGAATTAGCATATGTAAAGCCAAAGCACTGCACTACGAAAACTACGAAACAGAACGGAACGAAACAAAAAGATGCACACCCACCTCCAAGAGAAAAGACAAAATGAACGACACTTTGCCACAGAAACCTCAGCCTCTGTCATGGGTTTCTCTCTGTGAAGCGGACGTCTTTTAGTACGAGCATGAGATTTACTGAAAGTTTCTGAAACATGCTAAGAGCATCTGACATAAATATTCTACAGCAGGTGCTGTGTCTTTTTAGATACCGGAAACCGTTGGTTAGGCTTTCACTAACACACTGACTAATTACATGGTTTTGTCTTATTTACAAAATATCAAAAAGCAGTTGTTTTCTTCCATACCCAAGATTGCAAATCTTGCCATGCAATATAAAGTGATCGGAAAGCGTTTTCCTCAAAACTCCTGTAGCAAATCAACCTAAAACGTCATGTGCAAGGAATATACATTAAATCATTCTCGAAGCTCAACTTGAAAGTAAAAGTGCAGGGATGTGTCCGTACAGAGCTGAAAGAAAATGCAAACGGAGGCCAGGATTCCCTCGGATAGGACAGAAAAAGATTCAATAAATTAGGAACTTGTATTGAGATAGCTGTGATACTATACTACACTGAATACCACCACGATAAGATGTCGACAGGGAAGCCTCGGCAGGTGGAAATGAAGCGGACTGCGACACCTGTCACGACAGACACCGGATATATTTGCATCTATTATTGTACATATATTGTATAATCGTTTAGTTTTCAGTGTTTTCCGCGTTTTTACGCATGGCTCCTTACGTAGGGGGAACATGGGCGTCCCTATTGGCCGAGG